GCCCGTGAACTTCCTAGAAACTCTGTCTATATTTGGAAAGTGAAAGTAGGTATCAAACCGTATTAAAGTTAAGTCTGGATAGAAGAGTCTAGTTCTATGTATCTTAAGTTGTCAAGGAAGTAAAAATACTATTAGATTGTTGAAAAAGGCTAAGAGGAGAAGAAAAAGGTAAGAATCTATTACTTCATACAATATTATTATGTTAAGTTGAATTTAGAGGTAGAAAATATATGAATAGGATAACAATAGATTTATAATATTTAACCAGTCCGTTATATCTTAAATTCAGAGGTTGAATGAATAAATAACACATACTAAACCATACTATAATCTTTGGTAATATATTAGTCCTTATATACATATCATAGACACTTATAGCTTCTATTTACACCATTCTGATTTTCTAGTCTTTGTATGTGTATCAGGGACACTTATAGCTTCTATTTACACCATTCTGATTTTCTAGTCTTTGTATGTGTATCAGGGACACTTATAGCTTCTATTTACACCATTCTAATTTTCTAGTCTTTGTATGTGTATCATAGACACTTATAGCTTCTATTTACACCATTCTGATTTTCTAGTCTTTGTATGTGTATCATAGACACTTATAGCTTCTATTTACACCGTTCTGATTTTCTAGTCTTTGTATGTGTATCAGTGACACTTATAGCTTCTATTTACATCATTCTGATTTTCTAGGCTTTATATGTTTATCAGTGACACTTATAGCTTCTTTTTACACCATTCTGATTTTCTAGTCTTTGTATGTTTATCAGTGACACTTATAGCTTCTATTTACACCATTCTGATTTTCTAGTCTTTGTATGTTTATCAGTGACACTTATAGCTTCTATTTACATCATTCTGATTTTCTAGTCTTTGTATGTGTATCAGTGACACTTATAACTTCTATTTACACCATTCTGATTTTCTAGTCTTTGTATGTTTATCAGTGACACTTATAGCTTCTATTTACACCATTCTGATTTTCTAGTCTTTATATGTGTATCAGGGACACTTATAATTTCTATTTACACCATTCTGTTTTTCTAGTATTTGTATGTGTATCAGAGACACTTATAGCCTCTATTTGATTATACAAGATGGCTGCTAAATCAGAAGGTGATTGTTGTAGTATTTGTTTGGGGGAGTATAAAGATCCCAGAATTCTACCATGTCAGCATGTTTTTTGTCGTCAGTGTTTATTTGATTACGTGGCAGAGAAAGAGAAAATCAACTGTCCCAACTGTATGACTGAAGTAGAAATTCCACCAGGGGGAGTAGCAGATCTGTTGACACAGGAAGATGAGGAATCTATTGAAGAACCAACAGAACCAGAAGTTTGTAATGTATGTGACAAGGGCTATCAAGCTGTTTTTCAATGCTTTGAGTGTGATAAATACATGTGTGATGCTTGTAAGAAGTTTCATGATGTGTTTTCATCACAACATCAAGTTCATAAACTCAAAACTTCAGATTCAAAGTCGTTCTGTGAAAATCACCCGGATTCTGTACTTGAATTCTACTGTAAAACTTGTAAATGTTTGATTTGTCAACAATGTTTAGATGATGACCATGATTCTAAACATTTAGTTCTTAAAATTGAAGATTACCTTAACGAGATGAAGAAACAATTTGAAGATTATCAAAACAAAATTGATAGAAAATTGCAAAAAATTTCAAACGTAACTGATAGTTTTATTTCTAAAGAAACTAAGAGTTGTGATGAAGTCATGAAGCGCATATCTAAATTAGAATCTGATTTGAAAGATTATAAAGAAATAGCCTGTCATAGAAAAAAAATAAATTCTGATGAAGACGAAATCTTTTCAAAGAGACTAACATCTGCTATAAAACATCTTGACAAACCCTTGAATAAATCAAAAAACATTCAAGAATTACTTGATTTCACTCTGAATCTGGAGTCTAAAATTCAGAACCATCAATTGTATGTTCTACATACTGATATTGATAAAATTGATGATGATATGGGAACTCTAGATGTTACCATTGGCCGACTATTTTCATTTAACTTTATAGACCTTTCAATTAAAAGTGAGGTTTTCTTTGTCGGTGGTATCCACTGGGCCGTCAATGCCACCGCCGAAGATTTGGATAGTGAGAATCCATTTAAAGCCCTAAGGGTAAGTACAACCCTCATCCCTTTTATGAAAGAAGAAGACAAACAATCAGTAGAGTCTGTTACTGCTGACCTGATTTTAACCCTTGAATCTGATGATGGTTCCTTTGTCAAGAAAGAGTCTAAGACATTTTTATCTTCCACTTATGGACTTACAAGTATATTATATTATTGCGGGATAAAAAGTCATCAAGTTTATCGACGTAAATTTAGGAGTCATGTTACAGTTTATGTTCGTCCACATTTCAACTTGCAAATTTTGGTTGATATCAAAGAAATCAAATACAAGAACAATTCAAATAAGAGAAAACTTGACTGTACAGACACAGCCCTACGAGTTACATGTCCAAAGAATTTATAATTATAACCTAATATTAAATAACTTGACTGTACAGATATAACCTAACAAGATAAATATATAGAGTATCAATAACATGACTGTCTCTTTATAATTATAACCTATTATTAAATAACTTGACTGTACAGATATAACCTAACAAGATAAATATATAGAGTATCAATAACATGACTGTCTCTTTATAATTATAACCTATTATTAAATAACTTGACTGTACAGATATAACCTAACAAGATAAATATATAGAGTATCAATAACATGACTGTCTCTTCATAATTATAACCTATTATTAAATAACTTGACTGTACAGATATAACCTAACAAGATAAATATATAGAGTATCAATAACATGACTGTCTCTTCATAATTATAACCTATTATTTGTGTAGTGTTCTGTTATCTGTCTAGACCTGGACACAATAAAATCACTATATTTTTTACTGGTATTATTTTGAGCATTTCGAGAACAATTCTATATTAACAGTCTACTTTCCTTTTATGGAACTCTTCACGGAAGAGATAATAATAGATGTCTAAAAATTCCTCTGGCAGCCATTTTGTCTGCTCATTGAAACTATAGGAGAAAGTTCAAGGTGTCAAGACGTATGTGCAAGAACTGTTCTTGTAACGAACACTGTTTACAGAAGATTTATCTGTTCTGTTCTGAAAACTGATCCGAGACAACCTCGCTTTGATAGTTTTGAATTAGAACTGTTCTCAGAACGCTCAACTGTTTACACTAGTTATTTTTTATCTGTTTCTATCTCAGAACATACAGAGAACGGATAATTTTTATAATGTAAACGGGGCTATCAATTATTATTATAATTCAGATATAATATTTGTTTAAATAGTTTTTATTCAGACTATATTGTTTTTATATTATTGTAGTTATCTATTTTATTTAGTTCCCATCTGGTTCAGTTGTTTTTTGTTTTGTTTTGCTTTTTTCAGTGAATATTTTCTGTATTTCATGAACTATTGTATAATATAAAATATATAATTTTCATACAATATAGTTATAAATAGTTTTACTGTGACTTTTTAAATTCCACTTTAAAGGGACAGGCTCGCAATCCGTTTGACCGATAATTATACCTTAGTCTCCGAAAAGGATTTTTTTAATTAAGCCAGGCAGTAATAGTGTTCACAGCTCACCATCGAAATTTGAGCCTTCAAATCCATGTGTGTCCAGAATTATCTGCATTTGAAAGTTAAAATGACGACTCGTCATTTCTTAAGACTGCCATATAAAGAAAAGATATATATAGAAATAGAAAGTGAAATTCCTTGTTTGAGGTTTTTGTACATTTTTAGTATTTCTGAAGACTATAAACATATATTCAAGACCCAAATCAACCCCCAAAAATGGAGAATCTGTCCCTTTAACCTAGTGTTTTATGATGTCACTATTAGAAAAGGTGCTGGCGGGATATTTTTTAACTTTTCTAATGGATTATGATTTATTATATCTTTATTTTCCAACTATTAAGTAGAATTTCCTGGTTTTTTTGTATTTTGAAGAGAAAAGCGTTTCAGACTTTTTAATTGTTTAAACCCAATTTTTTGTCAACTTCATAGCATAATTCCTAATGTATTTTGCATTTAAGATTTTTAATGTATGCCATATACATTGTTTAACATGTAAAATGTTTGACTATATTTATATTGTTTGGGTGAATATATTGTTAATTTTTGTCAACTAACTATGATGTTATGAATATCTTTATATCTTTATTATGTTTATACTTCGTGTCAAATGTATCATATACCACTTTTTATTATGAAATATTTACTCACTTATGATGATTGATATACTTCCTTATGTGAAAAGTTCATTAGCTGCTATCTATGTTTCGTCAAAATGTTGTTTTGGAGTTCAGTTTTTGTTTTGCGGTTAGAGTCTTATTGATCGTTAGTTCTAAGTTTATGTATTGATATAAATAAGTTTTTAAATTTTATGATATTTTATGCTATTGTTAGTTTTGTAACAAATTGCTCATGCAATTATAGGTCTATATTATTTTTTGTTAAATAAAATGTATTCATTTACTGTTGAGTATAATTCTCATGAAAAATACCAAGAATATTACTAGCTTTGTTGTGAGCACTTTAAAATGGTCGTAGGGTTGAAAAACCTAGCCTTAAGTGCTATTTCTGATACATCTGTATATTGTGCTTAACAGGAGTTACTCCCCTTTTAGTAAGACTAAGTTGTAGTGACATATTGTGGTCTGGTTCAGTCCCTTTTAAACAAGAGTTACTCCCCCTTCCCTTCTGGCCAGAAAAAAATGCTTGCATTCATTTTGCTTTGGTAGTGTCATTTTGTGGAGCCGACCTTTCTTAACAAGGGTTACTTCCCTTCTTGGCTGTCAGATCAAGATGAAAAATACAACATAGTCGAACTTTTACTCTTGTTTTTTGATCTTACTGAATCCCCGTCCAGGATTGGAGACCCCCCCCCCCCCCTCCCCCCATAAAACAATAAGTCTATATTTTATATTAATACTGTAATAAAGTATTAATAAGTAGGCCTAAATATGACCATTAAAACAAATCATAAATAATTTATACAAATAAATAATAAACAATGGTATTATGTACAATATATATTAATGACTAACGCCTCCCAGAATCATCATAACAGAGAACTTATTAATTATCTGAATCTGATTGGACAGTACTGTAATGGCTTTCATGATTAATCCAATCAAAAACCTTGAAAATTATTTAAATAAAAGAGTCTCCAGTTATGATGCTTCTATCAAAAAACAGAAAAAAGAAAATATGAATGAATGAGAAAGAAAGGGAAAAAGTTATAAAATAAGAAAGACAGAAAAAAAAATGGATAAGAAAAAAATCTATAATACAAATTAACAACAGTAATGCTGGGGTTCTTTTAAACAAAAATACATTTTAGGTAATTAAAAATAAAAACATAGTCGCAATTCACACAAAAAATAATTCACAATATCAAATATTCTTTAAAAAAAAGTCAAAGAATTTTAAAACAACAAAAATTGTAAATTCAAAATCATCAATAAATACAACAATGAATACTGTATATACAAATTTCAAACGAACAAAAAATCCAAATTAATTAAAATATTACAAAACAAAATATCACAACCAATGGAAATAATCTTGTGTGTAAATTATCAATGTCAATTCAAAACAATACAAAAAAAATAAACAATCAAAAACAAATATTTAATCAAATTAAAGAATCAAATTGATTAAACTCTTATGAAAAATAACTTACAACAAATTTCCAAAATATAACTTGTTTTGTTTAGATATTATCAAAGTTAATTTATATCTCAAAACATAAAATGAAAAAACAAACCAAATAAATAATCAAAGAAAATTCAAACACACAATGAAATAAATAAATTATTTGGCACAAAATAAAGATATCCACTGTGATTTAAATATAATCTCCATAGTAACCAACTGACAGGTGCTCGATACTAAATCCTCATGTTAAAAAAGTGCTGGATATTTAAATACACAAATAACAGTTTCATCAATAATATTACAAAAATTGTCCAATGAAAAATGATATAAATTCATATATGATATACCCAAATATTAACCTCGGTAGGTGCTTTCGTAATTTCAATTATAATTTCTTTTTACAACCACTGTCACTTAACATCAAATACTGTTTTTGTTCTTGTTCTTGTTTAATATCAGATGATCAAGTCATATGTTTGCCAAACATTTAAAATCGATTCAAATTAAGTTTTATCATTTAAATTAGATGATGGTGTTATTGCTGGTAAATGTGGCATTCGAACTCACGGCTGGCAAGTGTTCAAAGCTAAATTTTTGTAAGAAAATTTTTAATGATAGGGTGGCATTCGATCGATATAATGTAAAATATAAATATCACACAGTTTACGACTTGGAATGGCAAAACTGAAAGAGATTGTAAAGAGGTTTTCTAAATTTTTCAATAATATCAAGGACACTGATATCATCAATTTACACCATTCCAATTTTCAATCAGACGTCTGTGGTTCCTGCAATTCCACTTCAACTAAGTGTTTGATGACGTCACAAATCGCGAAGAGCCTTAATTGATAAAGCATATTTTGCAATTACATAGTTTTAGTGGAATTGAAGGAACCACAGATGTCGGATTGAAAATTAGAATGATGTAAATTGATGATATCAGTATCCTTGATACACAAAAAAAATTTAGAAAACCTCTTTACAATCCCTTTAAGGTTAATCTCCCAGACAAAATTTAGATTATCGTTGATGATTTTTAAATTGGTATCAGATCTTTAAACTGTAGGCATCTGGAAGATTGGACCAACTTTAGGATCCATGGGGAAACCTTTCCTCATTCCCATACACAACTGAGAATCTAATTTCAGGGAATTCTCCTTCACTCCAATATCGTGTTCGATTACAGACTTGGTCTTCAGGAGGCGGCTCAAACTCAGCTCAGAGTCGTTCAAAGTTTTCTGTAAAATGGCGATGGATTCGCGGATCTCGTTTACTTCATTCTTCAATCTGAAATATTCAAATATCCAAATGTAAATTCAATGTATAAAAAATTATGTAAAATTGTGAAATAAAGACGAAGACCTTTAGTAACCTGATATTGTTGTTGTCTTTAACTTGAGTTGATATAAATACAAGACGAAACCTCGTGGTTTGACTGCAGAGTTTCGTGTAAAGCTCTCGAAGTTATTGTTGTACTCCAATATTATTCCAAAATGGCTATGATACCATCTTGACTTCAATACTGAAAGTTTTTATGAGAGACACGATGTTGATGGAACGGTTACACTTTTGCATAAATATGGAAGCTGAATCAGTTAAAATCAGAATATTTTGTGCTAAAAGCCCGTATCGATTCCCTCTCTACAATGTCGACAAAACTATATTCCATTGTACATTTCAAGGTCTATCCTAAATCGTCAACTTACGTTTTCATGACAGGATCGTGGCAGACTTCAACATGGATTCTTCTTGTTCTTTCATCAAGTCGAGTTTGAGCCACTTTCATTGGATTTTCTTTATCTTGAATGGCTTTTCTTAACAGATGAATGTTTCTTTCCATGTCGAAGATTTCTTGCATCGTCTAAAAAAATTTGAATTTGTTTATTTTATATCAGAAGAGCCACATCAGTTGCTTATTGAGTTTAAATAAAAAATATAATAGGCATGAATAAAAGGACTATCTATTGAAAGGCTGAATTTAATATCCTCGAAAAGACATCTACATTCTGATCTAATATTCCGTTAGAAAACAGCTCACTGCCACAGGAAGCTATTCTAAGAAACTAAGGAATATATAAGCAGAAGATCCTTCTTGTTTGAGGAGTTCATTTCTATATTATTATTGCTTCCTATTTTGTCATGATTTGGACGAGATTTTTGGTTACTGGAATTGTTTTGCTTGTCCGGATTTTTAACATAACATAACTTACTCTTTGTAGATGAGCTTGAAGTTTATTTCTAGCGTCCGTAGTTTCGTGGATTCTGGTGTTGAAAGCGTTATTCACAGCGTTAAAGATATTCCACATTTCACTAGCACAGGACCTCATACAGCTGTCAATTTCACCTCGGAGTTTTTCTGAAGCTGCTCGTTCTTTCTGAGATCTGGCGATGTTCTCTTGTGAGTATCGTGCCCAAGATTCGGGGATGGTGATCCTGTAACGTAGAATAGTCCGTTCAGATTTACCAAACAACTAGTTTAAGTTGCGAGAACGTTCAGAAAAAGCATTCAAAGTTCATCCACTCAAATACATATAACTTTAAATAAAACAGTCCTATCAGATTAACGAAGAAATAGTCTAAGCTTCGAAAATGTTCAGAAAGGCATCTAAATTCACAAACCCAATGACTGCTGTGTTTCAGAAAGGCAAGCATCGTCAGTGACTGTCAACTTAGCAGCTTTACTATCATAGACCTGATGATGTAACATAAATCTGACTTTCATTTACAATCTTTTCCAGCCAAAATGAACACCAAGAAAGGTTTCTTTTCTTGTGGTTAAATGTATTTTTTATGAATGTCTCAACTTTTCAACTAGGAAATTTAAGTTCACTTACGTATTATCAACGTTTTCAATACTGGGGAAATATCCGATACCAGCTGAAGAATTTTTTAATTGTTGCATTCTGTCATCAAGATGTTGAGCGTGGTGTTTATCTTTACAGTCGACCTCCATGGCGTGTTGACACGCTCTGTCGACTCTGGAAAATGAAAAAAATTGCATTTTATCCATAAGCATCTTTGTGTTGAGTATATTTTGGTTGATATGCAATTGACAGGCAGGGTATGCTCATTCTTCTAGACACCTGATATTTCACCTTTGTTATTAAAGATTTTTATTATTATTATTAGTATTAGCTACTTAATTTTCGGGTTTCGTTCATGGTTCGGTTTTTTATTAGACATTCCCCCTTGTTGTTTTCCACAAGAAGACCTATTCATTAAGACTTTGTGTTGATTATTTAAGTTCAAAACGTTTATAAAGCCGTTCATAGGACACAGAAGAGAGTGAAATGTGGCAAATGTGTTCAATTTATAGTTTAAAGTGAGTATTCAAATATCGACATAACAAGCTCTATTTTACTGCTTCATTTATATTTATATTTTCCAGTATAAATTGTTTACTTGCTGCTACTAATATATTACCAAACACTTATTTTGGATTTCTAGTTTCTTTTTGTAGTTCGGATCGTTCGCTTTTATCAAAGACATCACTTCGACTTACTTGAGCTGGGCTAAAGCTTTATCGTGGCATTTCTTCATCTTCTGTTGGCATCTCTTGATGATATCTACCTCCTGAAAGAAGGGTTACAGCATTAGCGAACACATTAGCGTCTATACTGCTTTGAACTCTCTTGTACTGTTCGTTATTGTAAATGACGTTTCAACAATTTACATTGTCAGGAGTGGGTTTGTGAGTAGAGAGTAAGAGTTAAACGTACCTTTATCAGAGATTTCTCCACATCATCATTAACCAAATCAATACCTCGTCGTTTTTCACGATGCATCAAACATTCTTCAGCTACATGTAATGGATTAGCAGTATCACCTAATGCTTTCTCTAAAACTCGACGATATTCTTTTAGATTTTCTATCTCAGTCGCCATTTGGTTGATTTCGGTGTTTAATTCACTCTTCCAGAAGGCGATATCAGTCACTCGTTCACCTGATGAAAAAAATAATTTAGTTATTTATCCCTTTCACGTTTTGAATTCCCCTCCAACTTTTTAATTTTATTCATAATTTGAAAATCAGGCTCTGGAATTTTAGCACCAGATAAAGCTCAAGTTACATCGTTATTAAAAAATAATAATACTTTGAGCTTACCAAGTCGTTTGGTAACTTCAGTTTGTCGGTTTCGAGTTCGGGTGTCGGTCTCCTTGATGGCTCTCCATGCGTCAGCTCTCAATCGTTCTCCATACGATCTTTCTTTAGACGAAAGATTAAAGTGAGAATTGTTAGACTGGCCCCAATCGGTCGTGGAGAATCGAGAGTAGACGGAATTACTGAAAAGAGACAAATAATACATAATATAATTCAGCTGAAATAGAGCCATACATACATCTTATTGATAGATACCAGACTGAATTTAGGAAAGCCATGCAATGTGCAATGAGGGGAACTCAGTCACCGTTTTCGATTTTCCACATCTTTAACAGTCAAAACTACGGGAATTTGACAGGAAATCTGATGAAGTAAGGTCAAACCATCTTTGACTGTAAATTACCGGACCTCTATTAGGAATAAAAGTCTGCACAAGTTCTATGGTTTGGAAATGACTTTGTTGGTTTCTCCTTGTGATTTGCAGGCAGAATATGCTAACCATGTCATAGCACCAGTTCCATGTGACTGGGATTGTCAACTCGGCACCGCTCTCGGAGCACCCATATAACTGATAACGGTACCGTGTACTGTGTACCGGTATTTGGTCATCGTTTCACGAATACGGATTTTGACATAGTCTTATCAACCCCCGAGGAAGTATGACGAATGGGGGCGTGGTTTGGACACGATGGTATTTGGTATAGTTTTGATTTGTAAATAAAATATAACTTACTTGGCTGGATTATAGTAGTTTTTAGCTTGTCCTAAATCAACAGATTTACTCAGATGGCGGGAGGGGGTGGTATCGCTGATCTGGGGTAAGAGACGGGCTGACCCCAAGGGTGACATGGGGGTCAGGGGGGTTCGGGTTCGGACAGCTGCTGGTAAATCAAAGTAAGACATCTCTGAAATAAAAAATAAAATAGAAATTTAAATTGGACATAAATGTAAATGTATAACAATAAAGAGATGCAATCGTCTTTATTTTTGCTAAACCAGCTGATGGAACTCATTTCAGCTAACCTGACCATGTCACTTTTCATTTTACAACTGAAATCCGATTCTCCTTCAATGTAACTAACGTGAACTGCACTAATGTAAACTATCGTAAAAGTAGGCTAATCACTGGAAGCACTATCAGCTGGTAAAGCAAAACATTAATTCCACCACATGTCAATGAGAACTTCAGTTAATCCTGTAATGACAGTTTTCCAAGTCTAAGTATTCAAAAGTCAAACACAAACTGACGCAGAATCACCAGACGTTGAATTAAACTGTTGGCATAGCCTACCCGTCTCTCTGCTTCGCAAAGATCTGCGTTTTCTTTGTTGTACATGCATTTTTGTATATTTGCAACCAAATCACCAACGAAATATCAACAAACAAACAAGCACAACGCGTCGAGAACAGTGTATCTGCTGAATCTGACAGTTCGCGCCAAAATCTCATAAATAATAAAAATGGCGGATATAGCAGAAGTGAAAGATAACGGTCAACCAATCAATAAACACATAGCAATTTGTAGAGACGAGAATTTGAATTATTCAAATATGATTAAATATTACTGAGGTACAAATGTTTAATCTCTGTTGCCATGTTATTCAAGTTGTTGTCAAGGCTAAAGTGTCGTTGTTAAGGCCAATTTTATCTTTTGTACGCTTAAAGGCCATGTTCGCCATTTTCTCGGGTTGGTCTTGAATATTTGAAATATACAATACTAGAACTGCATAAAATCGCATTATCCCTTCAAATATACTCCAACTATAGATTTCACTTTCTTTTTCTATAAGGACAGTCTCGAGAAAAGACGAGTCGTCATTTTAACATTCAAACGCGTATAATCCTGGACACATACGGATTTGAAGGCTCAAATTTACAGCAGTGAGCTGTGAACACTATAACTGATTGGCTTAGCTAGAAACAATTCCCGTTTCTGAGACTAAGGTACGATTGGTCAAAAGGAATGGAGAACTTGTCCCTTTAATGAAACTAAGGCGACATTTCACCAAACTGTGTAAACGTCAATAGTTCCCTCTAACACTGGGTTGGAACACTGTCTTTTTGTGGCAGTGGAACGTAGAACTCTACCCACGATCGTATTTTTACGTTTAATGCAACTTACAGATTTTCAATAACGTGTATAAGAAAAGGTGGCATCATTGAAAAACTCAGATTTTTTGATGATTGAAATGTTCGCATAATGGAGCCAAAACGTGCTATATAAATAAAAATGAAATGAAATGAATGGAGTTTTACGTCCTAATTTTCTGCATCTAATATGTTAATGAAGACGGTATATGAATGAAAGGTGACGTCAGTGGTTATTGGTTTCAGAGTAGTAGGATAATTTGAAAGAGTAAATTTTCAGACTTACTTGTATAGAACTGAATTAATTCCTTCTGATACAAAACAAGTAAAAAACTGTCAAATTTTCTCTCTTCTAGTTGGTTAGTTGACTGAATGAAGACCAAATCCTCAACTGATTTTTACAACTTATTTTTCTTATTTATACTCTCTAGTCTGAGATTTCATTCCCTTAGTTTCCAAAACCTTGACTACCTACATGGGGAATATCGGACCACGTAATACAAATTTGACAGGCTGACAAGGGTCATGTTTAAGGGTGGTTAGTTTATGATTAGTATAGCAATACCCTACACCGTCTTGTATATCAATCAGGTTTATGTGTATATTATTTGATTAACAGATCGATAATCCATATCAATAATCCATTTACTTTTACATGGGGATAATTACATAACGGTACATATATACTCGTATACCATGCTAAATATGTTAAAACTCGGATTAATGAAACGAAATATCTACTTGAGTTTTGCGTCTCGCCACATGCTAATGGCTGTGATTTTGCCCCACGCTCAAAAGCTTGCTGTCTGGTGTAGAATCGAGACGTTGATCGAAGATGGTTCTCAGCGGTACCAGGGGTGGAAGGCGTTATTAGTGTTGGGGTGGTTAGTGACGGGGTGGGCGTTAGAAGTTTGGGGTTGGGAATGGTTAGTGGTGTACATCGGAAGGAATGACGTTTACGGAAGTATAATAGCTTGTGTTATTTTAACAACTAGGCAACAATTATCCACCCAGAATTACTGCGTCGCCCATTCTGATCACCGACAACTAGACTTGTACCAGTGACAATATGTCACTCAGTAAGACAAGAGACGGTTGCCTTCATGGACAGGGGTGTAGCTTCCATGGAGGCAGGGGGAGGGGGGAGGGGGGAGGGGGGGGGGCATGAGGCATTGAGGCAACTGGTTGAAAGTAACTATCTGTAAGTTCTATCAGCAACTATTCAGATGAATATCTTTATATACAGTGTACTCTGTGATATCAGACATCATTCTGGGTATTCCGACATTCTGCGTAAAGGTGGGAATAGACGATGTACGGTGTCCGATGCGGTGTACGGTGTGAGTAGAAAATAGAAGAAACGAATCATGTCCGGACCCGTACCTCGTGTGTTCACTTCTCTTATTTTCGTTTGTATCGATTATTCCGCATCGTAGCTCGTCTATCTTTTTTGGTACCGATTAATTTCCTTCTAAATGTTAGTTTTAAAAAAACTCTAAGAACTGCGACATTCTGTGTATTATGAATTACGACCTCAGAGTTGAGCTGGTAAAGTGAAGGGAGAGATGAGTTATCGGTATTTTAACAACTTACTGTATCCTTTTCAGGTGTGAACATAGAGTTATATTATTATAAATATCTAAGGGTGTGAATCTCTTTACATGACGTCATTTGCTTGGTTACGTCGTGCGAATGGTGGGTGTGGGTTCAAATGACGATCGGCGTGTGATAGTCCGATTACCTTGACTAAGTCATCTTCACTCATAATTCCAGTCGACCCAGCTGTAGATGGGTACAGATAATGCAGGAAAGATCAATGCCAAGAGGTTTTGTCCAATTACCAGCTGGTAGAAAGGATCATTCACAGTGAACCTAAGTTGTTATCCTTGTAAAATATAGTTCTTTCAATGTTTCTTTTCTTTTCTTTTCTTAGATTACGAACTTGTAAAGCAAGATGACTATATCACTATAAAACGATAGATCTCGACTAGTCTTTTTAACTTTCTTTATCATATATAGAAAAGACAGAAGGAAATAGTAAGTGAAACTCTAGTTTGAGATATTTTTGAAGGAATTGTGTGATTTTCGATTCCAAGTATTTCTGAAGACTATTTACATAAATTCAAGACCCACATCAACCCCCATAAATGACACTCGTCCCTTTAAGTTAAGATAATGTTAAATAATGAAGCGAGTAATATACCCCTGGTGTATAGAATAACAAATATAATATCGACCAGTATAATAAAGGTATTGATAGATTATAGACTAACAACTATACTGTAGATATACTCAAATCAATCACTATACAATATCGATCTCTAGAAAGCGAAGGGAGGGTGGGGTTTATAGCCCATTTAAATCTAGGTATAGCTTTCGTTCTCGATCTCAATGCCCCTTAAATACATTATTAGATTTTATTAGAATCATTGGCCTTGTTATTGGTCCATCGGGTTGCAAAGTTGACAATCTCCAACCCCCTTTTTATTTTATATTTCTATTCTATAATGACTAACTTCGCTTTAGATGAATTTTCACCTCGGCCTGTGTTTTCGTAATTGTATATTGTCACATTCGCTCTCTACCAACTCGCTGGTAACACCAGCCACTGTATTTATTCTAGTCAAATTCAATAAAATCTTTCTCTCGTGTAAAAATTAGAATGTTTACAGTATTTTAGGTTGTTAAGTTATTCTTAGTTTAGATTATAATAGGGATTCATTTTGATTTGATACCGTCTCTAGGGCGTCCACACACATTTATCTTACAGGTAAGGCTTGTTAATTAATATTTACTATAACTATCTATAAAATAAAATGAAGTTTTACGCCCTTTTTCAACGCCTAATTGGGCTAATAAAGTCGGACAACGCCATGCAGTGTGCCAGCGACATTACGAAATTATTTTTTTATCCAACAGGTTGAGGTATATTTAGCGTATACAGCCTGTAGCACATGGGGCCTCGGTTTATTGCTCCATCTGAATAGAAAGGGACCAGGTACCGGACGGAACGTCTTTAACTCTTATGAATCAACAACACCGCATGATAGACATTGTTACTATAATAAAGTCTCCTGGGGCTGGGGTACACATAGGTGGCAGACTCCATGGAGACAA